TTACACAGAATGGTTACAGAGCAATAAATGGCCAATACTTTATTTATTTCCTTTTTCTATCTTTCTCTCTGTCTTTTTTTGTTCTTTTTATTTCATCATTTTCTGTAATTGCAGAAGATATGGATATGGATGGATTTGGTACTTTTGTTTTGCAATATTATATAGTATATACTACTCGACAAAAGTTATGTTACTTGTGTAACTCATGTTCACAAAACTTTTCATCATTTTGGACGACAAATTAATTAAACAAAACTACGACTTTTAATGTCAAAATTAAAAAATGTTCAAGGTTCAATTTGCCTTAATGGAAAGGATAAACTTTAAGGCTATGTTTGGAGTTAGTTTTGTTTTTATTTTTTATGTTTTTTTTAAAAAAAAATAAAAATATGAGAGAAACGACGTTTAGCATAATTAAAGACAAAAAAATAGAAATGAAAACGATTTTTTAGTTTAATGTAAAATGAGAGAAAAATAAAAAATGACTTTTAGTTGTTTTTCATTTTTTGTTTCCGTTTTCTCATCTCTTGAGCACAGAGAGAAATAGAGACATTAATGAATTTTTTTATACTGAAAATAATCTCTTAATAAAACTATTAAATACATTTTTAAAAATGATTTCTGTCTGAAATTAAAAAAAATTATTTTAAAATGAATTCCAAACGCACCTTAACTTTCTTCTTAACATTCTTCTTTTCTCATTTTTCTCTTCATTTTTTTTATTAGAAAATAATTTGGGGATAGATTCCCAAACGTTTCTTTACACCCAAGGAAAGCTAGTTTCGACATTCTAGGCAACATTATATTCAAGAGTCGTTGTTGTTGTTACTTATTTATTTATTTATTTTGAGTAATTGTTTGGAAACACACATCCAAACCTAAAAAAAAAAAAAAAAATTGTATTACTTTTACCTGTTTTCTGATGGATTTGATTCTGCAAGTAAATTAACGATAACTTATGCCTAGTAGCTCTATTGCTTAGAAGAATTTATCCTATTTTGATCCAAAACTTTTAAAACATCTCATATGAGTCTTTATTCTATGAAGTTATCTTAAATTAATCCTTCTTCCTGTTCGATCTTTAAATGCTCGATGGAAAAAGTCAATTAAGTACCATGTATTGTTTTTTGTGAGTTATTTTGTAATTTTACATATTAAGACCCAACAATTATGAAGGTAGGCATTCCCATTTCTATTGAGATTTTAGCAATCGAATGAACGAAAAAATTAAAAAGGTAGGCATGCCCATTTCAGTGAACATTGTTCTGAGTAACTTGTTCTATACTTTGATTTAGTATTCCCCATAACTTTTATAGTGGTATGGTCTCGTTCTTTTCGCTTATTCGAGTTTTGTTACAGTAAAAAGCTATAAAAACAGTCACATTTAACTTTTTTGTTACAGTAAAAAATTCTCACACAACATCAGAGCTCAATTCGAATTAAAAACTCGAATTAACGAACAGCTATATGGTTGATAATTTGAATGAAAATTGGACTATTAATTTCCTTTAGAAGTGTTGTAGATTAAAAGTAAGCTGGGATACTAGGAACGGCAATGTAGTACTTATTTATTTTATTTCTTTCTAATTGGTAAGAGGAACGAAAAAGAAAAAAAGAATGAGAAGAAAAATATTAAAGTTAGAAAATGAAAAAATGAGTGAGCTTTTTTCTTACTTTCTTTTTATTATTATTTTTTTTAGTAAAGTTTTTCTTTCATATTATATTATTTGGTGAAAGAGAATAAACAAAAAAAAAATTAATGCCCCTAATAAATAACTAAGTGTAATATTTAGGATAAAGTAGTTATTTGATATACTATTTATTTAGAAAAATACTTAAAACACTTCATGCATTTTGGTAAAATACCACTTTCGCGGCTTCGCCTCTCTTACTATATTAAATACTGAAAGCACCCTATAGTTATAAAAATATACTCAAAACCCCTTTAAAATTTAATAATGAGAGAGGTAAAAGTGATATTTTAATAAAATACAAAGGTGAGTGAGTATTATTATGTTTTTATTTTATTAAATACTCTCTTATTTTTAACAAATTAAAAGAATTAAAAAATGGTGATTCTTTTTCTTTTTTACTTTTCTCTTTACCAAACGCTCAAAATTCCGATACTTAAAAAAAAAAAAAAACGCTCAAAACTCATTTTTTTTCCATTATTATTTTCTTCCCTCTTTTCCACCCAACCAAACAGCAGCATTAGTCTAACGGCAAAACGGAAGACTAAACGGCAGAAATAGTGTACAGACTCTCCTCTCTTCCTCTCTCTCTCTATAAAACTGCTAGCCTTGATACCACTTATTTTTTCTGGGTTTTTCGTTCGCCTGTTTACAAAATTTGCTCTTCTTTTTTTCCTTAACGCACTAATTGCGTTTTTTTTTTTGGGTTTTTTTTCTCTGTAAAGTTGCTAACTTTGAGTTATTTCCTACTCTTTTGTGTGGGGGTTTTTTTTTTTGCCTTTTGGATCTGACTGGATAGATGAGCAAGAACTCATTATAAATTTGTTTTTTTTCTTTTTTTTTGAATGGGTATATTTTATTTTTCGTTTTAGAATACATACGCATAATACAATAGATAGTTCCAGGGTGAATTAGAACTATTTTTATAAAATTAATATTTAATCTCATTTATTTTAAAAGTAACACAGATGAAATGAAAAGATGGATTTTAAAAATAATTAACAGTAGACGTTTAGTTAATAAATTTAAAATTATTTTTAATTTATATATATATTTTTATAAAAAAAGTTATTATTATTAATCATAAATTATAACACGAATTTATTAATTTATATATATTTTATAAAAAATATATTATAATAAATTACGAATTATTCTTGCTCTAAATGCATAGTTCCATCGCTTGAGAACTGAACACAAAAAAAAAAGAAAAAAAAAATTTAGAAACCTTGTTGTTTAAGAAAATGGGTAAAAAATAGTAGTGTTCAGAAGCGTACGTTCTGAACATTACGAGGGCATTATTAGTCCGTCGGGCGGCTGCTCTTGCTGAAATCATTACCAACTTCTTCTCGCTCTCTTCCCAAAAAATCCTCCTTTAAAAAGAAAAAATAATGCTCAAAAGTATTTTTTTTAATCAACAAATTATAGTTTGGCGGAGAAGATGTCTGATTGCTTTTCATTTTTCATTTTTTTTTGTGTGTATTTTTTTCAATAGCACGCATTATCTGCCTTCTAATAATAAGAAAAGCAATATGTATTGTTTGTAAGATTAGGGAGTGTAATCCCACAAGCTCACATTATAAAGTTTTGGCTGTCTGCCTTTTTTTTCTTTTTTTTTTTTTCCGCTGAATATTACTTGTTATAGGGTGTGTTGTTTTGCCCTGTCCTTAGTGCAAATTTTTTTTTTAAATTATTTGATTTAGTTATAATAGTTTGATCAATTGAAGAACTTTTGTGTGCACTATTAAGATGGACATTTATAAATCAAATTGTAATAGCCCAAGAACAACAATTTTTTTGTTCTTTTCCGTTTGCCCCAATAGTAACTTTTTTTCTTCACTAAATAAGCACCGTTTAGCCTCGTAGATAAGTTGTTCCATTTAATTTAATAGACTTTCATAATATAATAGTAAGAACTAAGAACTAGCTTTATTTTAAACTGTTAAATATATGTCAGATTTTGTTTGTATTATCTTCATGGTTTTGAAACGATAAATATGCATTAGATAAAGTGTATTTAGAGTATGTTTAATTCGTTAATTTGAGTTAATATGTGATTTTATGTGAGAATTTTTTACTATAATAAAAAAATTAAATGTGATTATTTTTTAGAACTTTTTACTGTAATAAAATTTAAATTTTAAACTTAAATAAGTGAAATGAACGAGATATTCCCGTTCACTTCACTGATTTGAGTTTAGAATTTGAGTTTTTTTATAATAAAAAGTTCTCACAAATAATCACATCTAAATTTTTTACTATAATAAAAAACTCTCACATAAAATTACATCTTAACTCAAATTCTAAATTCGAATAAGCAAAATGAACAGGGAAGAACCTTTGAACTGTAATGCGGTTTTTATTCAATTTAACGTTTATAAAAATAACTATCAATAGTAGAAAGTTCTTTTTTTAACCCAAAATCAAAGAGAAGAGTTTTTTTTTTTTTTAAATAAAATAAAATAGTGGTGTAAGAATTTTTTTTTTGTTTTTAAAAATAAAATAAAATAGTGGTGTAAGAATTTTTTTTTGTTTTTTGAACAAATGTGGCGTAGCCTGGTCTACACGTCTATTGGCCTCTTGGTCGATTCATACTGGATTTAGAATTCAAATGAGACTAATTAGTAACTGCGATATAATAGGCTTTTTTTCGGTATTTCCTTCTTTCTTTCTCTTTTTTTTTTCGGTATTTTATTTTTATGGTATTTCTTTCAGTTATTTAGTCAGGAGATTTATATTTTAATTTAAATTATAATTTATAATTTATTATAATATTTTTTTTTAAAAATAATATATAAATTAAAAATAATTTTAATCTCATAATTTTAATTTAATGAATCGTGCCTTATAACGTCAAACGTTAAATCACCGTAGACTCTCTCTCACTCTCTCCTTTCATGCAGTAGTCGCTTCGCGCTCTTATTCTTTCTCGGTTTCTGCCATTGTTACCGGTTATCCTTCTTATTCCTCAAGAAGACTCTTCTTCTTTTTATTTTTTTATTTTTTTTTTCTACATCCTCGTCACTTTTCTTCTCTCCGACTCTCTCTCTCTAGAACTGCTATACTTTTCCTTCATCGTCTTTTTTTTCCCGGGTTTTTTGTTTTTGCTCGGCGGAAAATAAAGGTTGCGTTTTTTTCGGTTTTTTTTTTTTTTTCATGGTAAAGTTGCTAACTTTGCCTTGTTTCCGTTTTTGGGTTGTTTTGTTTCACTGTATTGTTGCTGACTTTGCATTGTTTCTGACCTTTTGTTTTCTGGGTTTGTTTCTGTTGGCGTTTTTAGGTAAATTTTGCGTCTTTTAAGATACAATAATGGACCGTAATTTGCCCGTGGCGAGAAGAACCCGTTTGCAGGAAGAAGAGGCTTTTAGAAAGTTGTTTGAGGCGACGACGAAGAAGAAAAAAGATAAGAATCAGAAGAAGACTAATGGTCGTGCTTGTGAAGGAGGTACGGCATCAGACAAACGGCAGGATTTCGCTAGTAGTAGTGGTAGTCGTAGCAGTCGTTTTGCTGTTGAGAAAGAGAATAGCGGTATTTCTAATGTACATGTGAAGAAGAACTGTTCTATTAGTCTTAATTCTGTAGAGAAAGACAATGTGGAACGTGGAACTGAAGATAGCCCTTTTTGTATTGACGACGACGATGATGATCTTGATTTTACTGACTGTATTTCTGAGGGTGAGATTGATAATGACGGTGATGATGATGAGGAGGAAGGGGAAGAGGAGTGGATTCCGTCTTCGGAAGACGAAGGCGGTTCCGGCAAGGATCGCAGAATGGCGAAGCATAGGAAAACGGAAAAGGGGTCCATCTCTAGGAAAAGTGATAGTCATGAGATTAATGAGAGTGAAGATGATGGTATTTGGGTTACGAGGGAGGATGATGATGATGATGATGAGAATAGTACTCAAGAAAGAGAGAAGACAAATGTGGGCACTCCTTTTGAAGGGGAAGAGGTGGAGGTATTGTCATCGGACGGTGACGAGAGTGAGGATGATGAGGAAAAAGTTCATAATGACAAAAATAGTCCGGAAGTGTGTGATAAAAAGATGGTGAGGAAAAATGAAAACGAAAAGAGTAATGCAGGTACTTGTGTTGAAGAGGAGGCTGAGGAGGTATCTTCGTCAGATGGTGATGAGGATCAGGAGAATGTAAAACGTCGGAAAAGGGGCGAAAGTTCCGAAAACGGAAGAAGTGATGATGATGGTGGTTGGACTGTAAGTGAGACTGATGAGGAAAAGGAAAAAAGTACTAATTTGGGTACTAATTCTGTTAGGGCAAGTGAGCCAATTGAGATTGAGATTACGAGTAGTAGTGATGATGAAGGAGAGTCGTTTCAAGTTGAAGAGGAGGATGAGGATGAATCTGAGCAGGATTGTTCAGTCAGTTCTGCTGAAAACACCAATTCTATAGCCCAAAGAACCCGCTCACGCCGCGGAAAGTTGAAGAAAGAACTCAGAAGTGCGAGGACTTCAAGTTTTGATGAGGATGAAGATGGAGAAAGTACTGAAATGTGTGTGAGCAATGAGCAGAGGAAGAAGGGGTCGAAGAAGCCGACAGCGAGGAAGCAGAAATGCACGGCCGAAGCTCGGAACAAGAAGGAGCAAGAGTTGATAAGGAGGGGGACAAAGAGAAAGCTCAAACGTAGAGAAGCTGGATATGATGTTTTCCAGATCCTCGTGGATTCCATTTATGAGACGGGACAAGTTTGTGTGGAAGATTTAGAGTCAAATAAGGACGAAACCGCAATGGAGAATGTGGACCGGTCAGTTCTTCCTTTGAAATTCACATTTGGAATTGAGAAGCCAAACACGCCGGAGAAGTCGAAGGAAGAATTAGAGATTGATGAGCTCTGGGCTGAAATGGACCTTGCTGGCACATACGATGGGATTGGTTTTTGCGCTGCTAATGTGGTATGTTATCATTTCACTCATTAACGTTCCTGCACATAAATAAGTTGTGCTATTGAGTTTTTCCCCTCAATTTTTCTGTAAAAATAAATAAATAAATAAATAAAGTACGGAACCAAGATAGAACAGGCCATAAAGGATGCTTCCCAATGTTGAGAACCACCTTGTATATCTTTTTGAGCCAAATGGAATCACTCATTTTCGAACAAAAAGTTGTGGGGTTTGCAAGAAATATAATCGGCCCTACGGAGGTGTTCTCACCTTACATCTCTTTCTGGGGGAATTGAATAGATTGCTATCTTTCAAATTTCTAGAATCATGATAATTAATAAAGCATATGTTACTTCTTTTGGGATTTTAGGCTTTGTTGAGTTTAGCTATGTGGTTATGATCATATTTACTGAAATCCATTGTAAGTATGAGTGTAGAAGAAAGTTTAGTTGATAAGAAAGTTTTTCCTCTATTTTATGCTGTTGGCAGTGTTAGCTAAGGGCTGGTTTTGCTGTTTTATTTTGGAGTTGAAACTATTTTGTGGTGAGGAATTTTTGTTTGTTGGTAGCTGTCTTGATTTCAATTTTTTTTAATGCTTCTCTTGAATATAACATTTCAATTATTAAATATTTCCTAGAAAAAAGTGTATGAAATGCCTTATAAGAGTAACGTTGTACAAGTCCAAATCACTTCGAGCGAAATATAGATTTTCTCTCTTTAACGACTGATTTCTGTTTTTCTTTCAATTCTCTGTCTTAATCCTTCATGTTTTTGTTTATAGCAAGATAAATCTAAGTTGTTGCACTTTTATTATCTTCAGGTTGAAGATGAAGACCCTCTTCCTTCCTGGACTGGAATTGACAAATATAATCTTTGCAATGAAGCCCCTGAAAGGAAACACCGTCCAAAACTTGAAGAAGAGATTGGGCTTATTTGCTCATACTGCTCAAAAGTACTGGTGGAGATCAAATATATTGTACCATCTTTTGTATGTCAAGCCATTCTTTCTTATTAGTGTTGAATTTGACTGATATTTTCAGTGTTAGTATGTTGAAATTGTTCATGCCCGTAAGACTAAGGCTTCGTTCATTTCACCGATTCGAGTTTTCAGTTTTAGGTTTCTACAGTAAAAAGCTCTCAGAAAATGTCACATCTAACTTTGTCTGCTACAGATAAAAGCTCTCAGAAAATATTACATCTCAGCTCGAATTGAAAACTCGAATCTGCGAAGTGAACGAGGCCTTAATATATGTCTTTGTTTGTAATAAAAAGGATATGCTATAATCCATTTCTATAATTGATATTTTTTCTTGTTTGTTATGGATTGATAGCCTTATTTGAGTTCTCCCCATTAGTATGAGGGAGAGAAAATAGTATTTGCTGTATTTGTAAATGATTATTTGCTTATTTAGGATAGATGAACATGAGTTTTTCTCTTGATAATACTTTTTTGAAATGGAGAAGATATTTTCTAAATATAAAATAAACCAGATAGTGAATGTGAATATGTTTCATATTAGTATATTGAACGACTAGAAAAAAATTTCTCAGCTTATCCAAAGCTGAAAACTTTATTATTATTATTATTATTATTATTATTATACGACATAGCCTCTAATTGCACATCTTTGACATATATTTCTTTGTGGTCATGAACTTAATAGCATAAAAATTAATCTTCATATACCTGATAGATTAATATTGTTTTTCCACATTGCAGGAAGAGAAAAATCCTAGTGGAAGGCTTGATATAAGAGACCTCCGAAAAAGCGATTGCTCTTTCTTTGATGAACTTGGGTTTCATGACTCAGATTGCGAGTCGCATTCAAGCAATGGTGTTTGTGATCGTGCTGAAACAGTCTGGGATCTCATCCCCGGTGTTAAAAGCAGTATGTACCCCCACCAACGTGAAGGTTTCGAATTTATTTGGAAGCATATAGCAGGGGGCATTCATCTTGAAAATTTCGAGAGCATAGAAAACTACGCTGGTGGAGAAGGTTGCATTATATCGCATGCTCCTGGCACAGGGAAATCTCGCCTCACCATTGTGTTTCTTCAAACTTTCATGAAACTGCACCCCAAATGCCTGCCACTCATTATAGCTCCTCGCAGCATGCTCTTGACTTGGGAAGAAGAGTTCCGAAAGTGGAAGGTGGACATTCCATTCCACAATCTGAACATTGATGACTTGTCTGGTAAGGAAGACAAGAAGGCTCTCGCTTTGCTAAGAAAGGCTAGTTGCATGGACAAAGATGCAATCCGCATTGTCAAGCTGTATTCGTGGAAAAAGGGTGGTAGCATTTTGGCAATCAGCTATACATTGTTTGAAAAGCTTGTTTCAGGACAAAACAAAGCCAATGATAAGTATTTCAGGAAAATTCTTCTTGAGCTTCCTGGTTTGCTAGTGCTTGATGAAGGCCACACCCCTCGGAACAACCAAAGTCTAATCTGGCAGGCTTTATCAAACATCAAGACTCATAGGCGCATTTTGCTATCTGGAACTCCATTCCAGAACAATTTCAACGAGCTCTTTAACACAATGTGCATTGTGAAGAAGGATTTTTCGGAAACAATTGGAGCTGCTCCGAGTGTGTCTTGCGGTATAAGGCTTAGTAGCAAAGAGAAGACAAGAAAACAGTGGTCGGATTTGACAAAGTCCATTGGAAAATCTGCTGGTTCTCAAATGGACCTGACGCGCCTCAAGTCAATCATTGATCCCTTGGTTCATATACATAGAGGCGATGTACTTGAGAAAAGTCTTCCTGGTTTAAGAGAATCAGTCATCGTATTGAAGCCATTGGAGTTGCAAAGGAGCCTTCTTCAGGAAATTGAAGCGGAGAAAAGTCAGCAGTTCGTTTTCGAAAATGCAGTGTCTTTGACCTCTGTCCATCCCTCGTTGTTGCTGGAGTCTAAATCGGAGGCTTCTCATGTCAAGATTAATGAGTTAAAAAGACTTAGATCAAATCCTGATGCTGGTGTGAAGACAAAGTTTTTAATGGAACTCATTAAGCTTAGCACGGCTATGAATGAGAGAGTACTTGTTTTCAGTGAGTACCTTTCTTCATTATCTTTAATGAAGGAATATCTCATAGCTAAATTTGGATGGACAGAAAAGGAGGTTCTCTACATTGATGGCAAATGCGACATTAAGGAGCGACAATGTGCGATCAATAAATTCAATGACATGACTAGTGAGGCAAAGGTGGTACTTGCATCAATTAAAGCCTGCGGAGAAGGAATAAATTTAGTTGGGGCATCAAGAGTCGTGTTGCTTGACGTTGTTTGGAACCCTTCTCTTGAAAAGCAAGCCACAAGGCGTGCTTACAGGCTCGGGCAGAAAAAGGTTGTGTATGTGTACTACCTTATTGCATCTGGGACTATGGAAGAAGATAAGCACAGTCGCCAAGCTGAGAAGAAGAGGCTTTCTAAGTTGGTATTTACGTCTTCAGACTCGGTTAGGAATGAGCAGAAAAGCCATTCTAGAGTCACAGAGGACACGATCTTAGAACTGATGGTCCAACATGAAAGTCTCAAGCCTATTTTTGAAAGAATATCATTTAAGCAAAAAGAGTCTAATTTGATGGAAACATCTTTCTTTGAGGAGAACCAACCAATGGTATCATCAGAATCTGATCTTTGAAGTGTCTTTTGCTGAAGGTATGTTATTTTCATACAGTTGGAAGTTACAAACAATCAATTATCACACCAATACTAATCATAGTTTGTCTTGGAAAAGTGATGGAACCACCTTGGGTTCAATTGGTCTGAACATCTTTTTTCTTTGTGTAAAGAATTCCAACAGTACGTCGAAATTAACTTTCTGTGCAAATATGCAAGTTAAGAAGTCTGATTAACTTTAGTAAGTGTGTTGATTTTTACTGACTGAGTAAAATCACATATGATCTTTTTCTCCTTAAACTCCAAATCCACCATGTTGATTCTCTGTTCTTAACATTGGCTGCACCATTATTCTGAAGCTGCTCGTGCTTCATTAAGTGTTTCTACAGCAAACCAAGTTTGGTTCCTTGTGTGTTGCTTTTACACGAATTGGGTCTCGGCTGAATGTGAGAACAAAAGACAGGAACATCCTTAAACTGTTGAATGTAGTTTAATTTGAATTCGGTTTTCATGTCCCTTTTATGTTATGAAATTTCCCCACTTACATTTTTTTTTTAATCTACGTTATAGTCTTTCCAGCCTCCCAACTCCATTCCCAAGCAACTGTTTTTATATTATTTCTCATTCATCCTTGTGATATCTTGTCAAACTGATCTGTGTGCTTTCTTTTAACTTTCAACTTAGTTTGTCAAATTAACTGCATTTAGTTACGGCCTTTTATTTAAATCTTCCCTCTTTATTTGTGTGTTTCAGATCGTTTTTGGCCTGCTATATCCATCCATTTGATTGAAGACCACACAGATTGTTCTGAATGCTGCTGAGGCGCACTTTTGGCTAATCTAACTTTTGATACAGGGATACAGTCTTTTGTTTAAGTAAATATAGAAGCATTGCTCATAGTCCTAGCAAATTCATTATAGAAAATTGAAAGAACAGTGAGAATCAGAACAAAAAAAAAAAAAAAAAAAATTAGGATACTTTTGTTCGATGTATTAGTTTTTATGAGGTTTACTATACATTGTAAATTCAAGACACAATTTTGATAGTTTTTCAGATATCAATCTCATATATACAAATGCATTACACACCAAGTGTAAATTTTACAGGTGGTTTTCTTGTACATGCCTTTGCCTGAGTAGTTCTTTTTTTTTTTTTTTTTCCCTTTTCATTATAAGAATTTCTCTTGCCTTAGTTGGCCGCAGAGTTTGACGTTATGCTTCTCTCTCTTTTCATGTCAATGTGACTGATCATGTATCGAAAATACAATTTTGTCCTGGCAATGTTGATAACCATGATGTTGAGAGAGAGTTGTGGCTGAGAGATATGTAGTCATTTAAGATGTGCCGACTTGTTTATATCCTGTAAGAAGATTTAGAATACTGTTATTCTGGGTTTGTTTTGGGCATCATGGTTAGAGAGGAATAAAAGGATTTTTTTTTTTTTGAAGATTTGGAAGTATTAAAGAAGTATGAGATAGAGTGAAATTGTGGGTTGCAATTTGATTGCATGAAGATAAAGAATTTAGTAATTTGCGGCTTTCAGATTTGGTTAGGGAATGGCAATTATTGCTGTAGTTTATTTTATTTCTGAGTATTGTTTTCTCAGTTTTTTTTTTCCTTCTATTTTTATGATATCTTTATCCAGGTGGACTTTATGTACATTGTTCTTTCTGTCTTCAATGGGGAAAAAAAACGAAATATAGGAGGAAAATCAGTTCCTTTTCTTTCCTCTTTTTTGTATGTACGTCATGAATCATCATTGATCTCATTGAGCTTGTTTTGAGTAGTGTGTAGTTGTATCCTTTGTTATTCCTTTTACCAATTGGACTTAAATTATAGTTAATTTTGGTACGATATGACGTCTCCTAAAACTAGCTGAATTTAATTCTTTAACGTATAAGATGCTGAAATTAATTCTTTAACGTACAAGAAAATGTATTGTAATTTTTATAGTATAAGAATTTGTGGTATAACATGAAACATAAGCTCCTCGCAAAATAATTTCAAACCGTAAAATCACATTAATAATAACTTAGATAACCAAAATCTAAACGCTCAAAATGTGCTTATCCCTAGTTTTCTTTCTAAAATACAGTATTACGATGAGTCTGTTACAACTGATTCTGAAGATTCATAATAGCCTTCTTCAAATGTGATGTTGCTTACAATCACATTTAGATCGAACCAGCCCAACCATTTTTGCCTTTTTCAAAGGTTGAACAGCTTTACTTCATTGTTCTTTTGCTCTTCGTTAAGTGTTGTTTCTTTTTCCAAAAAAAAAAAAAAAAAAGAAGGAAAAGGGAAAATCTGTTCCTTTCCTCTCCTCTCTTTTGTATGTACGTCTTGAATCATCATCGGTCTCAATGAGCTCGTTTTGAGTAGTATGTTGTGTAGAAATTGCATCATAATTTAAAAAAAAAACAAAAAACATATGGAAAATTTTGTGGGAAAATATGACAATAAACTCTACTCGCAAGATAGTTTCAAACTGTAAAAGCAAATCAAAATCACATCAATAATAACTTAGATGACGAAAATCTAAATGCTCAAAAATCTCGTGCCTATCCATGGATTTCTTTCTTAAATACTGTATTACGACTTAGTTACAACGGATTCTGAAGATTCAAAATAGCCTCTTCAAACATGATATAGATTACAAATTTACAATCAACATTAGATAAAACAAGCACGAACATTTTTACCAATAAAAAAGGTGTCGCTTCACCACTTTGACATTTTCTAAGGTTAAACAGTTTTATTTCAATAAAACAAAGAATATGCATTACCATAAAAAATCCATCGACTGTTGGCATGCTGCATCATGTATACCACCAGTTTGGAACTTTTTGTGTCCTCCACAAAGTTATATTATGCTACCGATGACAGCTAACTTAATCAATCAATTTATCATGTTAGTTTGTCATGGACCCTTCAAAAGGGAAGGACGAGTATGTAGGTTGGAGATCAAAGGAGACAGCTAAAATAAACTAAGCAGAAGTATTGGAGATGAAATTGGAAAACAATAAACATAGTTGAATTGTTCAAACATTGCAGTGAAATTAATCATCTCAATTAAAAGATACTGCCAACCATAACAAATTGTCATCCATAGACTTCTGCAACATAAAATTTAAGAAGGAAAACACAAAATCCTCAAAATTGTTTGGAACTAAATTTCTATCCATAACAAAGAAGCAAAATATCCAAAACAAAGTAGACAGAGGGGAGGTGGTGACAGCTCAACTCTCAGTCTGTTCCCTCAGCCTCCTGATGGTACTCCTGACCGTCACAGCACTGGCCGTGCTGTTAAAATTAACAAAAGACACAATTACTATACTTCCATTTGGAATGATATTATAAAGGCAAAAGTTGGATTTAAACTTGAGGAATAAGGTAATTACTTCAAGGTGTAGGCACCGCCAGCCTTAACTTTGCCGCAATCCTTGCAGCCCCAGATTCCGACAACCTTCCTCTTCACGGCATACTAAAACAACAAAGTAAAACGACCAAGTTTCAAAGAAAACCATGATTCGACTATCTCCACCTAAACTTATGGCAGAAAAAAATGGCAATAGAATCAACAAAAGGAGGAGAAAACTTTAACATTATTTGTTACCTTTCCGCAAAATTCACAGAAGTATTTGCTGTGCTGACTTACTTCCATTTTCTTAATCTGCTTTCGCAGACTCGCACCATAACGGGTGCCTGAAATTCAAAAGAAAGTCCATAAAGAATTAGAGAAGCTGATTTATAGTTCCAAGTACAAAAAGGAGAATAATAAAACTTGGCAATAGCACTAATAGAATACTTGCTCTAAACTAGCAGAATCAAAAGGCAAAGCAACACAGTCCAATATCTGTCTGAATCCATAAGGAAAAACCCTCCAAACTTATTCATTAATGTTTGAATAATCATCAGCCATTGGTATCACAAATCTTGAGAAAAAGCACATCATTTCCACTTGTGACAAGCATTCTAAAGTAACAAGAAGAGGAATATTTCTACGCAGAACTTCAAAAAACAAAATCATGCGCGAGAAAATAAAAATCATAGAACTGTAATAGCTAAAATTCCACGGCGCTTACCATATTTCCCAACGATACCCGCCTTCTTTGTTCTCTTCGTCTGCGACAAAATCAATCGAATTAAAACAGAAAATGCAATAAACTATCGAATCAAATAAAAATTAACAGAAGCAATACCTCGTTTAGAGAATCAAAACGCAAAAAAAAAAAAAATGCATTTACTTCGTCAAAACCGAACTACTTGAATAGAGACATACATCATTTTTACACAGATTTTGAAGAGAAACAAAAGGTTCAGTTTTTACGATAAACCGATTTTTCCCACTAAACAAACAGATATTTAGCGCGTTTACAAAATCACAGAGAAGGTAGAAATTGAAGTATTCCACAACCAAATGGACAAAACCCTTCTCTTTTCATGACCGAACAAGATGCGCAACAAAAATTCCTCGGATACAAATATAGGAAATACAGATAGAGAGAGAGAGACAGAGTACCATTGGAGCTAGGGTTTGGAAGGTCTCGGCAGCGAAGGAGGCAGTAGCGGCTTCTAGTCTGAGAACGATGGGAGAAACCCTAGACTGCTTGCTTTGCTTCTTATAAAGGCCCTCCAAATGTAAATGGACCGCGTTAATTATTGGGTCACTCCGTTAATCGGCCAGACTAGAATAGTGTTCGGCCCAAACTTAAGCCTACTCAACTCCATAATCAGGTTTTCTTTTCTTCTTCTTTTTTTTTTTTTGTTTTTTTTTTGTTTTTTTTTCCTTTTCAGATTTTGTCACTTTGAACCTTTCAAAATTTATAAAAATTAAAAAGAACTAGAAATTTCTTTCTTCATAACCAAAAACATGCTATTTATAACTTTTAAAAAGAATAATGATATTTATGCTTAAGACTATTTGATCTAGTGGCACTGGAGGTTCAAATGGAATGAGATTTAAAGAGAAGTTGCGGATTTGATACTACACGAGACGTTTGGTTTATGAATTCAGAATTATGATTTAAAACCATTCTCAGTTTATGTATGTTTTTTGTGATAAAAAATACTGTAGTAAATTACGAATCATGATTCGAATCAGGACACGAATCCACAAACCAAACGCGCTCCGTTATTTATTTGGTAAAACTTGAGTCTTGACGTTAAGAACTCCAATTTTCATCGTACATCTCCTAGTTAATTTACTTATCAGTCAATACACTTGGCTTTTTATTATAAATTTATACTTAAAAGCACCTCATCAACAATTCCGTTGTAGTCTAGGTGGTTAGGATACTCGGCTCTCACCCGAGAGACCCGGGTTCAAGTCCCGGCAACGGAAACATTTTGTTTTCCTCTTTTTTTTTTTTTTTTTTTAATCTGTATATTCGCTCTCAACTCATATATTTCCTTCAATGAACTTTTCCCTCCAACTCCAATCAACAAAAGTATATTTTGTCAGGCTCAGCTTTACTTTAGAGGGAGGAAGGGGAAAGAACAATATCAACAACAAATCATCCAGATTTTTTTTTTCTGTTAATAAGATGGATTTCATTCCAAAAAAATAAATAAATAAAGGCGTTGGGAGATCCTAGCTCTCTAGCAGACCACCCCTTGATGCCATGCCAAGAGGCAGAGAGAATGGATCGAAGGGTTGAGAGCCTAAAGCGCCTAGATGAAAAGATTTTCGCCACCGCGCCACTGTGTTATCATGCCTCTCCTTCAAAGAGTTATTTGGTAGACGTTTAGTTTATAAATTTAGAATTACGAGTCAGAATTATTCTTGATTTATGTGTATTTTGTGTAAAAAAATACTTTAACAAACTACAAATTATGATTCGAATCATGACACGAATACACCAATCAAACGCACACTAACTTTAGACGAATGGATGCACTACTCACTGGGCCACCGGGGGGGTTGGGTTGGGAGCTGGAGGCCATGATAGGGCAAAAGGAACCCAAAGATAGAAGGTATCTAGGAGCTGAAGGTAGAGAGCCCAGAGAGACACCTTACAGACACTACTCACAAGGCCATGAGAGCATAGTTTTTACCTTCACTTAAGAGGACTACATTGTGATCTTTTTTGGCCTGCTTGTTATCTCTAAAACAGCCTGGAAAGTTCCCTTTTGTGGTCGGCGAACATTTTTGTTTGGTCAAAACGAAAGTGGGTCTTGGGGAGGATCGCATATAATTTCTTGTTCTCCTCAAATACGTAAACTCTCTCCTCTCTTCACCTAATCATCCGGATTTAACAACCATACAATGTTGTTCTTTTCTTTTGTCATCTACGAGTGTCCTCGTGATAAATTCATTTCCTCAATAAATTGTTGAAAAGCTATTTTAGCAACACAAAAATCCTAACTATTATTCTCTGAGCACCATTCCAAGTTTTAAGGTCTTTATACCATTGCCAGATTACAACAATAGTTTGTCTTGTTTCGAATTAAAAAAAAAAGAAGAAAAAAGTGGATTTGTTGCTCGAACAAGAGAAGTGGCAAGGACCAACTACAAGTAGTAGTTCCTCAATGAACAAACCTCGGAGTGTGCCCCAATTTCGATCATGTCGAGTTGTCTACGGCAAGCCAGGGTTCAACCGGCGACAAGTTTCACTTGCATGCTCGGATTTCCATTGAGTCAACCATGACGGAACAAAGAAGCTACAAACTAACCAAAGGAAGAGCAAAATAGAAAACCATGAACCAAAAAAAAAAAAGTAACAAAAGAATGTAAGAGAAAAGAATGCTACATCAAAATCTTTTGAGGTAATGGTCTCATTGCTTATTGTTGAAACTTGAAATACATGGTATTTAAGTGGGATTTTACTTTAATTTTACGAAATTTATACGCAATTTCCTATATCGACCGCTAAACTCTAGAAACCGGCTCATTGAGATAATTTATGGTTTAAAATGTGCTAGCACATGATTCTGTAAATAATAATTAATATACACGCTTTCATACATACACGAGAGGAGGATAGAATCATAGAAGTGTCTAGTGGGGTTTTCCACCTTTTCCTCACCCATATCATGATTATCAAGATTGCCTAGAAGAAGACGTATTTCCAAAACATGGCCAATAACATTTACATTATTAAAAAAAAAACAATATTAAACTTGGGGCTAGCTAACTCAGGCACTTAGTGCCAAATTTGGTCATGTCCCATGTAATTGTCGTTCATCCTATGTACATATGGTTTATATCAGGACTGAAAAAAAAACAAAAAAACAAAACAAAACAAAAAACACAAACCAAAACAGAGAGAAACCCATCTGCTCCTCAATCAGTCATCCTCCAAAAAGTGACCAAATGTGGTTCCAACCAGGTATCTCACATTTGCAACCCCAGTTGCAATTGAAGGAAAGGAAAAAAAATAAAATAAAATAAAAATAAAAGAATCCATTAACATCGCATTCTTTGTGCTTCCGTGGCTTCTTCCGATGAAAGTGCAAGATGATGTCTGCTCGTCGCAGAAGCATGAGCAGGATCGTGATGCCGAATCTGTGACCTGAAATCAAACAAAATGAGCTGGTGATTCCTCCCTGTTATCTCGATGCATTTGGTCTTGGACGGCTTTTACAGCTGCTACTCTTGCTGCATTCGCTGCTTTATTAGCCGCAGCTACAGCTTTGTTCACCCTTTCATCCAACAGTGCAATATTTTGCGCTCTCTCTGCTGCTTTCCGCGCTTCCTGCTCACAAGACATGAGTTGGTTTAAAGATTTCATCTAGTAGTGACTAATTCTCGGCTCGAAAACTAAAGACTATTGAGGGCAGTGAAAATTTGTAAATTCGGAATGAAATAAGCATTTTTGGACAGTTCTTGTACATGAAATGTCAGCAGCCAAACTTGCGAATGATTGATGATGGTAGAGGAAGTAGTTGTAACTTCTCCATTCACACATTTCCAACAAGATGACAAAATATAACAAACCCCTGTTACCATTCTAACTAAATTTCAAATTCCAGTGTCCAAGTTGTTTAACAAGCTGAAAACGAGATCTAAAAGAAAATGTAGGTTCCACATGTTCAAGAAAGTTTCACAATTCTCGTCAAGGAAAGAAATTAAAGAAGACGGTATGTTTTGGGTGCCAAAGATTTCTATGGTGCAAGTAACAACTTAAAGGATATTCATAACAACTATTTACGATCTAGTATCTCATCTATAAGCTACGGCTAAGAAAATATTCCTTCAACCACAAAAGGCATAAAACATAGTTACCTGAACTGCATTAAGAACTCTAGCGTGATTCACAGCGCGAGGAGATTCGGGATGTGGATTTTGCATGCTAGGACCATCAAGGAACCCATTTTGCCAATGGCCAGATTGCGTTTCACCATTTCTGAAAGTGTACATGCCAAGCCCCTGCCTCCTTCCTTCATGCCATGCGCCCTCATACCGATGTCCATTCGCAAACCGATAGACTCCAAAACCATGCATCTTGTCTGCAAAATATTCCCCAGCATAGGTGTCCCCATTTCTGCATTATCATAAATGGCAACTAGAATTAGTTGTCATCTAAAAATATAAAATAATAATAATAAAAAAAGATAACTTATTGGCATTTCTTTATCCTGCACTAAGATCACTAGTGGCATTTTTTATATCTCTTCTTTGAATTGCTTGGCACCTTAAAAAGTTATACTAAAAGAGAAAGATACGATCAAATATATTAGATGTTGTTGAATACTAAAAAATGAAAACATACTTTGCAGAAAAAAGAAAGTGCCTTTCCTTATGAACTCCTAAAGGTCATGCTAAAAATAAAAGGAATCCTCATAATGTAAGGCACACAAGGCAAAACAATACAAACTTGAGGCTGCTTTGATGAAAATAATGTAAAAAGTACATACACCCTAATCATACACACAAAAGGTGGACTATATCGCTGCACGTGTGTTGTCTATGCATTGATATACCACAAGAACATAAAAGGTAGGCATATACAATTATTATACACACAAACATGCACCTACATATGTGTGTGTTATCGTTTATGCAACTAATTGTAGAAGATATATTCTGATCCATAATCGGCAGATTTGTTGATAATTCATCATGATAATCTCACAGGAAAGTCTCTCTACCTTACTTTGATTTTGAGACTGCTACATATGAAATAAGGGGAACATCTTAATTTTTAAGGAAAGTACTTTAAAAGCAAACACGCCACTAAGGTCAAACTTCTACTATACGGTATAATGTAAAATATTGTTAGAATCTATCAGAAGACCCCGGAAATTCACAGCTAGAGAATTGCGTTTGACTTCATCCACTGTACGGATGTTCCATTAAGCTCAATTGCACAACTACAATCTCCCTCATACTTCAATTACTATCATCTCACTTAATAGTTCTTCAAATCTTAAAAAAGGATGTAATACGCACAATCTATCCGTTCAATGCCATAAAATATGAGACTTTTGTTTCCCCACACATAAAGAAGTAGATCGCAAAATTCCCATCACAAGAGAAAACCCACCAGAAGATCAAATCGAACATAGTCACAAACCAAACCAAGATCACAAAAAAAAAAGGAAACAAATTTATGATTAAAAATCCATCACAAGTTAATGCAAATTGGCCAAAACCACTAAATTCAATTAAAAGGAAACAACATCTTAGACCAAGCTAATGCAATTCATGTGAAAAGTGTAACATAACGTTTATTCTATGTACCGCGCCATTGTGAAAAGTGTCACAGTGCAGAAGGACCGAAGACAAAGCCTAAGGGCCAATTTGGTATATGTGTTCAAACTACTAGTTTTGATTATAACTTTTGAAATTTAAATTTTTTTTTGAGAGAAAAACACTACATAATAGGTTTGAACTCATAAAAAACTCATATATCAAACTTAATCTAATGGTCCGTTTGGTTAATAAATTTAAAAAAAAAGTTTAAACAGAAATTTAAATCTTACTAGAGAAAATACCGTAGCGAAAATGTTTGAACAGTATATCAAACACACGGGAGCTAAGATTTTTACCTGAAATGATAATGCCCAAGGCCATGCTTAACACCCCACTTGAACTCCCCAACATACTTACTCCCATCCTCACAAGTATGAACTCCACAGCCATGGCATTGGCCATTAGCCCACTCCCCAACATAAACATCACCAGTGTAGAACCTATAAACCCCAATTCCGTGCCTCAATCCTCGTCGATACTGCCCGCGATACCGGCTTCCTCTCGCCCACGTCTCGACGCCATAGCCATCGTACTTCTCATCAATCCAATCCCCCTCGTACCTCCCACTCATGTGGTAGTAATAAACCCCACTTCCCGAGCACTTCCCCTTGTGAAACTCCCCCTCGTAAACATCCCCATCGGAGTAGACCTTCACCCAAGAACCCGAATTAGTCCTTCGCTTTTCGGAGACGGGTTTCGATCCGATCGACCAGAGTACCGGAGAAGAGGAGCCGGAGCAGGGCTTGGCGGTGGGCAAAGAGCGAGAAAGGAAGAGGCGGATGGAGAGGAGGCGGGGGAGGGCGAGGTTGAGGGAGATCAGGAGGGCGGAGGAGAGAGAAAGAAGAAAGAGAAAGTCGAGGAGGAAGGAGTGGCGGGGGTTAGAGAGAGTGAAGTAAAGGGAAGGGAGGGAGAGGAGAATTAGGAGGCGGAAGTGGAGTCTGAGCAAGTGGGCACACCGGAAATGGCGGAGGAGGTTGAGAGCCAGCGTTTGGGCCATCAGGAGAGGTCGTCGTTTTCTGGGCTCGTCATGGGGTTGTTGTTGTTGTTGTTGTTGTTGTTGGGTCTGTTTGGTGAGCGATAAAAAGGGCGAGAAAATTTGGTGGTGGTGGTGGTGTTGATGATGGGGAATATTATGGATTCGGAGATGGTGGAGTTTGTTGGTTTGTGGGGTTGGGTTGAAACCGGAGGAGACGCCTCTACTTTCTTTGATGATCTGAATTTCGGACTTCTTCTGATGCATTTACATTTACATTAGAGAAACTAACTGGATTTTCTTCTCTTTTCTCTCTCTGTAAATATATATATATATATATATATGAGTTTGTGATTATGATGATGATGATGATGATGAGGTTGTGGGATTACTGTGGTGTGGTTATGGCGGAGGGAAAATTGATTCCTTTGAAGCAGGAGAATCCTCTGTGTTTTGGTGTTTCTTTTTTTCTTTCTTTTCTTCTTCGTCTGGTATTTATTGTCTGGTAATCTGGTTTTTCGCAGAGACAAAAACCAGTTGAAGAAGTCGGGTTCAAGTTTCTAATGTTAATGGCCTGGCTTTTGATCGTTATAACATGTTTGCCACTTAATTTATTTATTTAAATTTTATTTTTAAGAAGGATGCCTGGCCTCGTTCGTTTCCCTGATTCGAGTTTAGAATTCGAGTTTTGCTACAGTAAAAAGCTCTCACAAACAATCACATCTAACTTTTTTGCTACAGTAAAAAGCTCTCACATACAATCACATCTCAACTCAAATTCTAAACTCGAATCATCGAAACGAACGAGGCCTTAATTTTTCAAATAATTCTGCTGACAAAACTATTATTATAATATTAAAGTTTTTTTTTTTTTTTGCTTCTAAAAAAATAAGGAATTTTTCCTTTGAAAAGTACTATGTTTTAAATATTCTTTCATACGAGATCATTAGGTTGTAAAAAAAAACTATTGACATAATAATTTTTAGCCGTGGTGAGATACTAAGATTCAAATTCGTAATAAAAATTTTTTGTTTTTTATAGCCTTGTTCATTTCACCGATTCGAGTTTTCAGTTTTAAATTTTTATAGTAAAAAGCTCTCAGAAAATATCACATCTAATTTTTTCTGCTACAATAAAAAACTCTAAAAAAATATCAAATCTTAATTCGAATTAAAAACTCGAATCCGCGAATTGAACGAGACCTGTATGTATTTTTTATGATTTTGATACTGCTAGCTAGCGTAGAAGAACCTTTTTTTTTTTTAATAGCAAAGCATTCAAACAAAACAAGAGAACAAATAACAACACAGGAAGGCTATCCTTACCCCCAATGGGTTAATAGAAGAAAAGGCACTAAAATAAAGAGAGAATTGACTATAGAGAACTGGTAAGGGAACATAACTTCCCTCCCTATTGCTAAAATGATATTTGCCTAATATCGCGCAATAATATCATCAACCTCTTCCCTCTATTTTCACTTCAAAATTCCCCGTCTCCCAAGAAACCCTTCCTCTACCACCATCGCATCAAATCTAAGAATTATTTGGTCTCGTTTATTTTACCGATTTGAGTTTAAAAATTGAGTTTTACTACAATAAAAAATTTTAAAAAATAGTCACATTTAATTTTTTTACTATAGTAAAAAACTCTCACATAAAGTTACATCTTAATTCAAATTAAACACTCAAATCAGCGAACTAAACGAACCATTTATTCTGCTTTTTTATTATGAGACTTATTTTTAAAAAAAAAAAATTTTGCGTGGAGTTACATTTGGGAACTTTTTTTTTTTTTTTTTTTTTCATAAAATAGGTCACCAGCAACTGCTCCTTATGGAGCTTTGAAACAACGGAGGAGATGCTTGGGTGAGTCTTGAAGGAAAGCCAGAGCACCTTCAAAAATAGTTGGCATCAGCTGTGACCAATGAATTTCTGAATTTTTGTTGCGAGCCAGAGAAATTGGAGCCGTTACAAAGCGACGCTTGCAATGGCAGATCGAGATCGCAGGTGGAAATGCGACAGTGAATCTGAGATGGATCCTTGCTCAATGAAGACGACCAAGGGCGAGAGCTCCACAGATTTTAGAAGTTTGTTGTTGTTGTGTTTTTTTAATTAACACGAATGGTCTCAAAACTTGTCAAAAGATGACAGTTTAGGCCTTAATTTTTTTTTTTTAACAAAACGAGCCTCAAACTATTTAAAAATGTGCAATGTCGTCCTTTCTATTAAATGTCGTTAAAAACTAAGGACCAAATCCTAACCTATTAAAGTTGATTGGAATTAAAAAATCACCTTATAAAGAAGTAAGGGACCATAATGTCACCCTTTTAGGTTATTATGTCGTCACTTTTTAGACGGCATCTAACAAAAATGATTATATTGCACAATTTTAAATAGTTTGAGATTCGTTTCGTTAAAAAAATTAAAGATTAAACTGTCCTCTTTAAAAGAATTTAAGGACTATTCATGTAATTTACCTTTTTTTTAAATCTTTTACGAATTAATTATTTAAAATAGCTTTTATTAACTTTTTTAATAACTCATTTTTTATTGCCACATATGCTTTTTGCCCGTTAACTTTAATAAACGGAAAGAACAATTTAAGTTATCTTTTATAAATCAGGAGATTTTTTAAATTAATTTTAAGACTTAAAAGACATTTTGAAACAATGTACGTCCTTTAAGAAATATTTATGAAATTAATAAAAACAATTAGGTGCTTAAATAATAGTTATTAACTTTTTAAAAGAAATTGATCAAATGAAATTAGGTGCTTAAAGAGTTGTTTAATTTATTGATTTAAATTTTTAATTTGAGTTGAGATGTGATTTTATATGAGAATTTTTTATTGTAATAAAAAAATTAAATATAATTATTTTTAAAAGTTTTTTATTATAATAAAATTTAAATTTTAAAGAAATGTTTGGTTAGATAATTCAAATCATGATTTAAATCATGATTTATAATTTATTATATTATTTTATTTCATAAAAAATACACATAAATTAAAAATAATTCTTATCACGTAATTATAATTCATAAATTAAACGTCTTATAAATTTAAATCGGTTAAATAAATTAAACGCGGTTAAGGTTTTTCTAAGGTAATAATTACAGAATTACGTGTATTGCTTTGAGTTTTGAAGTTTGAGCAACGTGGCATAACTGTAAATCTGACATGACAGAAGGGTAATGATTAGATGGTGTTGACCCAAGTGGCGCTAATCAGAAAGATTGCTTCGGTTCTTCGCAAACTCCGCCACTGGCCCACTATGCCAAGTTGCAGCCTATATAAAAAAACAAAACAAAAAAGAACGAAGAAAAAAAGTGACCGCTTCTAATAACGGAATCTTCACTTAACGGTCACCGTTCATTTTGTCCACGTGGCGTCTTCTGAGCTTTTCTTGTGGCAAAAGTTCCTCACTTTAATCGTTTACATTCGTAACGGTCAACCTGTGTCACAAAGCTCAACTCTTTTAAAAAAAAATTAAAAAAATAAATAAAAGGAGAAAACTCTAGCTCTAACAAATTTTTTTTTTTTTTATAGAATTGTCTTGAAATTGAATGTGAAATTGGTATTACTCTCTTTATTTATAATTATCTCTTTTATTTAAGTTGTTTTAAGTTGATTTATTTTAATAAAGAGATAATTATAATTAAAGATGTCAGTAATAGAAAGATGATTACTCTAGAAAAATAATTTTCTAATTTTTTTTCTAATTATAATTACAAATAAATAAAATTTTGGATTAATTTTAGAATGACAGAACTACATACAATGTAATACAATGATATTACTGCATGTTAAAATTAGAACCAAGTAAATCTTAGTATGAAGTAAGATTATTAAAATTCTATTATGTACCTTTTAATACTATGGGTATTTTTTTCAGTATTTTCAGTTTTGTTATATAATCTAATAAAAGATGGTGTGTTCATTTACACAATTCAAGTAATGATTCAAGTAATATTATTATAGTATTTTATCTTATATAAATTTAATTTTAATTTTTTTACTACAGTATTTTTCCTCTCATATACACAACTCAAGTCATGGCTTGAATTGTGTAAATAAACACACCCTAAATTGTCAATTTTTTTATTAGCTTTGACATCCATTTAATGGCTATAATTCATCCTATTTTAGGAGATGATCGACGCTTTGAGACTAAATTTAAAGTTGCGCCCATAGTTCTTTTATAGCATGAAAGAGATACTTTTTTTTTATAGTAATTTTCATTTACTTTGGATTATCCTAATGTTCTCATAAATAAAATAAAATAAAAACAACAGCAACTAGAATTGTCGAAAATATTGTAGTTTTTTTTAGCGTCCGTTTAATTTACTGATTCTAATTTTTAATTTGAGTTAAAATGTGACTTTACGTGAGAGCTTTTTATTGTAGTAAAATTCGAATTCTAAACTCGCATTAGTGAAATAAACGGAGCCTTAGATTTTCTCTAGGATGGTCCAAAATAGCGCAATTTTTCTTATATTTCCTCTTATGATATTCACAGTCCATTGATTTATTCTAAAAGCAACTAAAAACCGATCATTCTTACCATTTTTCAGTCTAATATTCGAAATTATAATCCTCCATCTAAAGCAACACAATGCGATAATTCCAAGAAGATTAGCGTGTCACAATATTCAATTTGTTTATTCTAAGAGCAACTGATGAAAAAGCTACTCACACAAAGACGTCAAAGAATTTTTGTGAAACTGAAATAAACTATCATAACAGCCATTTATGGAGATTAATTTCCAAAACCCGAAGTACGTAACTGGTGGAGTAAATTAAAGGGTTTTTAGCACAATTATTCCCGAACTTATCGTAAGTTTTAATGTTAGTCAGTTACCCCTTAACTCGTAATTTATTATAATATACTTTATTTAATTAAATTTGTTCAAATTTTTTAATTAAATTTAAGAAATTAAAAATTGAGACATTAAAAGATTTGTGTTATATTTAAATTAGAACGTTAAAATTTTTACTTAAATATATTTTTTTAATACTAATTAATACAATTATCGTTAAAATAATACATATTATAATGATTTTATGAATTGAAAAAGTAACTTATTAGTATTAAAAATTTTAAAAATAATTAAGAGTGAATGTGCTAAAAATTCTAAATTAAAAGGAAGTAACTATTATTAGGGATTCCACTGATCAAAGGTGATGAAAACGACAATATATATATATATATATGTATATATATATGTATTTGAATATTGTCCCACATCATTGAGAGCTGAAAGCCTGAAACCCACGTGGTTTGAAAGTGCTTTTTTCAGGCATGAACTTTAGTTGCCACTGCCATGCCGATTGGTGGCCTGGGTGGGGCTAAAATTATAATCAAATAGGATTTTGTGCTGACTTACACCCTCACTTATTATAGATGCTCTTTTCCCACTTCGACTGCCTCAAAGTGTAAAGTTCTTGGTACTAAAGTTGACAAATAGTTACAGCTGTACGCTTTCTTTGTAGCTTTGTTATATATCATTGAGCATTCTTATTTATTCTGATAGAATTAAAATTCT